GGCCTCCTCCAGCAACGACAGGATCTTGATGTTCCACGAAATCTCTTGCAAGAACGGGACGTCTCCACCCCCTTATCTGCTTTCCTTACCGCATGTGCCGAGCGCATGGCCGGGCGAACACCGAAGGACCTTTCGCCGGAAGCAGCTCACCTAGTTCACAAGGTGCCTGTTCACTGACCTCAGCTGTGTACGCTGCAGCGGCGCCTCTGTACGCAGCTCCCGTGCGGTGCACCGAGGAGCGGCGAACGCCGAGAAGTGCAAGAGGAGAAAGAGGAGAGGCGAATAGGCCATTTCCAGCCGTCTGACGCATTGCACGTTATCGTCATCCCCGAGCAGCTTCCCAGGCGCCCACCCTTCTTGCCCTTCGTTTCCGTGCCTTGACTCAAGAGGGGCCGAAGGAAGGGAATTTGTTGAAAAGGCTTGGGCTAGGGGCTGTCACCAGTGATCATGTCTTCATCTCAGAGGGCCCACATTGCCAAGGTGGCGGTCCGCATCAGGCTGGCGCAATCAAGGGACTCCGAGTTTCTGCAGGTTTACATTGCCAAGAAAGCCTTCCGGGGGGGTGATATTGGCTATCTGCCAGGCCCAACCTTTCTCAAGAGCCAGTTGCTCTTTGGGCCAAGTCCTCTCCGAGCTCCCAGCGTGTCTGCTGTCATCGTGGATTCTTGCTGGAGGACGGGAAAGCTAGAGTTCGGGCTCTTCTGTCCAACAGGGGAGTTGTTGGTTTTAAGAGGCCTTTCGAGGCGCAGGGCTTGATTGGTTCTTGTCTTTCATGCGAGGAGTACGAATTCTCCCGTGTTTTCGGGCCGGAAGATGACAATCGGACCGTCTTTGATCAGATCCAAGATGCTTGCCTGCAGGGCAGTGATGGATGCTTTCAGGTACATCATGAACCCACGGCATGCAGAACAATGCCTAGACCGCCTAGAACCCACGACGTGCCGGGTGGCGCGTAGCTCATTACCCTAATTCTGATCAGGGCCCCACGCTGACTGCCAGCGTCTTCCAGGGTGTGAACGAAACGCTCTTCGCTTACGGCCAGTGGCGGCCCTCAGACTTATGATCCAGCCATGAGCCCCATGCGCTGACAGGGATGTGTCAATGCAGACTCGTCGCATCAGGACCGGCAGCGGGAAGACGCATACCATCTTCGGCAGCATCTTGGCAGTTCCACAGATGCTACGACTCTTGAATGTCTCGTCATTGATGTTTGTTTGGTTCCCATTTCGAGGCCGCAGCGAACCTGGGCTCCTGGAGCTCTTTGTCCGCCGCTTCTTCGACGCGGCGCCAGCCAAAGCCGCACTTTTCGCAGGCTGTGGCTCGACATTGGAAGAGGTGCAGAACGCCTGGAAGATCGTGTAGCTTTGAGGCCCGCAACTAGCTAATCTTCCCTTCGCACTGGCATAACCTGCTCTCCAAGCCAAGGCTATGAGGTCTTGGGTGACTCGCTGACTGACCTGGTGGACCCTCGAATTGTATCTGTCGCTCGTGACTGTGATTCAACCACTGCGATGCATTCCGGCATCTCGAAGTACAAAGCCCCAGATGGTGCTGCCCCAGCATGTGTTGTGCCCGAGGACTCGCGACGATTCCTCGCTGAAGGCCGGGAAGCAAGTGCTCGGGTTCCGCACTCTTGGAGAGTCAAGCAGCCGCCAAAGGCTCTGTGAGTATCGTGTCCAGTAACTGTTTGGCCGCGGTGTTGCACCGTGACTGTCGCTTGGTGATAATGGCTTGGCAGGAAGCCTGCATCACGAGGACATCGTGCACGATGAGCTTTTTGCTAAAACACAGCGTTGCAGCTATCAGACACTCGGCATCATGTTGTCGCGACCTTTGCATTCATAAGGAGGCCATGGCTGCTGAACTACCACTCAGGATTGTGCGCGTCCGCACGGCAGAGATGTGTCTCAGTCTGCTGAACAACGCGAGATGGAATCGCACATCAGGACGGGCTTGGTCGTGGCAGACTGAACCCAATAAGCACAAGTTTGCGCACGATGTAAGAGTCTCGGGACTGAGAGGCGTTTCCTCTTTCAACGAGGACTCTTCCAGGCGCTGGGCTTTGTAGCGAAATCCTGTGATTCTTTAAGTCCTGTTTGAGCACTTGGATCCTCAGTGTCAGCCAGGGGGACAGACCGTCGTTGAGTGCCTTCTTAAGGGTGTTTGCAGACAAGAAAGCTAGGTCGGAGGAAGATACATCTACTGCAAGGACCATGGATGGATCGGTAGGTCGGTCGACACGCAAACAGGTGGATATGTGTGTTGATAGATGTACATGTGTAGTTGTTTATTTTCTGCAGTTTTTTTACTCGGCGGAATGTCATTGCTCGTTTGCTCAGTTGACTTGAACTCAATCCTCAAACTGACTGCTTCAGTGCTGCTGGAAGAGCAGACGTATTCCGGTTTCAGCCCTCCGTCCTTGCCTGCCTGCTGAACGGTGCCTTTCTATCTCGCACATTCTCCCATGCTACCAGCGGTTTTCTGGGTTAAACTGTAGAGAGGCCTCTCTCCCTGTCTTCTCGTTTTTTAATCAAGCTTGATCTTTCTCACACACACAAGCATCCTTACTAGCACATTGACGCTGTTCGTCGTAGCGTGTGGACTTGTTAACCTCAGTAATTCAATGAGCCCGCATCTATCTTTGGCGATCGAGGTCTCATGCCATTGTACACCTGTTCGTTCAGCCACTGTGCTGCAAAGGCAAATCAAGACTTGTCGGCTGCAGGCGAAGTAGAGGAATCCAAGAGACGAACATGCACAGTCGTGTAAGGAACCCTGGCTCCGATGGATGTGCCAGCATCGGCACTCTGACCCTCGTCGACCTGGCAGGGACAGAGAAGGACTGGAGCGACTTGACTTGTTCGACTTTCTTTCACTTTAGGTTTGCGATGATTTGGCTGGAGCAGAGCAGGAGCACGAGAATCCCTCAGAGAAGGGCCGAAAGTGCGCGCGGCTGCTGAACACCTCCCTGTCTTCTTTGACGCCTTCCTGAAGTTGGGCTTCGGATGTCTTGGCACTGCATAATGCTAGGGTTGCCTTGCATTCTAGCATGGGCATTTGTAGATGCCAGGCCTGTATCGAGTTCGTGCAGTCGAGGCAGGTATCGGAGGCCGTGCTGGAATTCATACCAGCTGAGGAATCGGCTTCTCAGGAAGCTACAAACTGGGAGTCTTGGGGAATCGGAACGACGGCTGCCCGGATGCACAGGGAGGTCGGGCTTCTGGCCCGATGAAAGTTCGCGCAGATGCAGGCATCGCCGTTGCCGTTGCTGAGGCAGAGTGTTCTCAACAAGTGCTTGTGGGAGTACTTACGCCCGGGCTGTGGGATCGCGCTGGTCTTCTGTGCAAGTCCGTTGCAGCCTCCTCAGGACATGATTGGCCGGAAGGCTTAGCAGCATCTGCTTGTTTGTTGTATCTGGAATGCTCAAGAGTGATCCCCAGCAAAGGCTGCAGCATCGAGCTGCCACACTGTCGACCCTGGCAATGGCGACAGCTACTTGGAAGGGAGGAATTACGAGAACAACCCTGCACCTCGCGAAGAAGGGAGAGTCGGGACGAGAGAACAACAAGTTGGCCTGTCCACCTGAACTGCTTCATTACTCGTTTACTTCTTGCGCGTTCAATGTCTGGAGCAGTGTCTTAACATCGGATGGATGCTGCAAAAACCTGCAGATGAGAGTCGCATCGTCCGTCGCAGTCCGAGGACAGCAAGCTCATCCAGAGTCAGCGAAAGTCACAGTACGTGAACATGCCCAGCCCACGGCAGTCCGCCCGAGCCCAGGCCATCATTTAATACCATCTCTGCGAGGATTTCTGCAGCGAGATCTCTTCCTTCGGTATCCTTTCAGAAGTTGCAGCTCACGTCCTGCCTACCTTGCACTGAGATGTGTTTTGGTTGATCAATTTCTAAAACCACGTGCAAAACAGTCCCTGCGTGGCAGGTTTGACAGGTCCTGAGCCTTCCCTCCCAGCCACATGCTGCCCCAAGCATTTTGTCTCGTGCTTGCTGTAACGCCCACGCAGGCTTCTTCGCTTTCACCTGCCGCAGCCGTGGCTCCTGCAGGTCCGGGCATCCGGCTGTTTCGGAAGTGACGGGTTAAGTTGCAGCTACAGCCTGCGGCAAGAGGCTGGCAACTTCCCTGCTCCCAGCTGCAGGCTACAGAAGCGAGATTTGGAGAGACTTGACTCCCTGTCCAGACTGTCGAACCGGGCCGACTCCGCCGACTCCTCGGGGCGAGACGCCCAGGCACAGGGCGGGCAAGACCCTTTTACGTTTCGCACAGGTGTGCAGAATCAATGACCGCCAAAGCTCACTTGGCATTTTCACATCGCCTTGTCGCCCGCTCCTCAGGCGTCCAGCCGGTATGGCACGAATGGCCGGGCAGGCCGTTTGGGTGTTGTTGGCGCCTTTGTGGTCCATCAACTCAGGATGTCCAGTTCCACGTGTGTCTTGAATAATAGCACATTGCAGACCGAACATGGGCAAATTGTTTGGAGTCGCTGAAGGCACCAAGCTGTAGGAGCTGATTGCCTGGTTAGTTTGGAGATGTGCATGTAAGTCCAGGCCAAACCTCTATTTGTTGGGTAGGTGATGCTTCACATCTGGACAGGAATCCTCGCGCCGGGAAAGAAGCAGCAGTCTGGACTTCTTCTTTGGGTTTGCGCAAAGCTTCAATCAAGTAGTACCTGCTGTCTCTAGACAGGTACAGGGTAGAATTTGCAATCTCGGTGTTCTTTTGCCACGGAGGCCGGCTGAGGCTTTCGGGATTGCAGCTGTGCGGGAACAGGACGGCCCGTCTGATGAGCTGCTCGCCGAAAACGAGAAGCTGCGAAGGATATTGCTTGCCCGAGCAGTTTGCTGTCAAGGGTTGTCCGCAAAGCTTGAACCAGGAAACAAACAATACATACAACCATCAAGGAATCAAGGAACTCACCAAGACATCATAAGCGGAAAGGGGCACACATCTGCATGTTGGTTCGTGCTATGATGTTTGTTGAGTCATGGTCAAACGATTCTTCCCCCCTAGTTTGGCCCAAGTCCTGTGGCTACAGACCAGGGCAGGGCGCATGGGTGCAAGCTCCAGTTGCTGTCAGAGCGACGAGCAGCAAGTTCAGGTTCAGGTGATATCTACTCATACTGGCAATGGACTGGAAGTCCAGTTCGCGGAGCAGTCGGATGTGCAGGACGTGCAGAGCACTCCGGACCCTCGCAGCATGAGCAGAGCGAGGCGTAGTCTTCTCCTGAAGACAGCGTTCTTTATCAACGACGAGCTGCTCCGTGGCATTTCCATGAGGGAGTCTTTGCGCAATGCAGGAAGCCTGTGGCGCATTTCTCCTTCCGATTTGCAACAGAAAGACAAGGCTGCTTTAAGGCAATGTTCAGCTCCGGTGAAGGGCTTTGACATATTTCTATCACACACTTGGCGCACACACGGTTTCTGGAAATACTTGTCTCTCTCCTTTCACTACGGCTGGATGCACTGCATGATTGGATGGCTGGTCACGACTATGACAGTCGAGTTTCTCTTCTTCCTTGACATTCTACCATCGTTCTGGCAGACTGAGGCTGGATCTTTTTCTTGTCATCTTGTCTGCACCCGAGTCCGTGCGAAAGCGAGCTCAGGTCCATTTCCAGGACATAACGGCAACCTACCCTTTCGGGGGTTGGGCCTTGTGTCTTGGAAACCTCGTTTCGCTTACAGCCTTCTTCTTGGCACCCTACTTGCCCGACTTTCGCAGAGCGCAGACCTGTTTTTTGGACGTTGCCAGCAACCCAGCAAGCTGTGCACAGCTAACTTATCAGGATGTTTCAAGCTTGTCTGATTCCCGTGCATAGTTTTACTTACACGTCTTGTAAACGTCCAAGCTCCGAAGAGCAAAGCTTTGAGCCAGGTATAGATCAGGTCGACCCGGAGATTATGGAGCAAGGCGTCTACGGGTTGGGTGCTTTTCTGAAAGCCTCCGCAGAGCTGCGAATACTCTGGTCGGATCCTTGGTAGGCTGCTGCAAGGCTTATCCGTTTTGCCCAGGGCTCTTCACAGACACAGTCTGGTCACCGGTTAATCACCGTGTGTTGCTTTCTCTGTTGTCTGTTTTCAAAGGGTTGATGTTCTCGCAGGTCTAGTTTCGGATTGATTCCCAGCTTCGTCCCAGAGCTTAGATGGGGAAGTGGGGACTTGTTGCTGGCAGAGCTGGATTGTTGCTGAACTCAGGAACCATATCTGTCGCGGTGCTTGGAAAGCAAAAGTACGATTTTGCTAAAGGGTAGTCCAAAGGTAGTAAGCTGCCGTCAGATTAGATGAGGATCTTGTGGTCTCGACGTTTCGTGGCCGGAAGTGCAGGTTGTGGTGTGTGTTCGAGGTGGCCGCCTATCGAACTGCAAACCCAACGGGCAAGATCACTCTTGCACCACTTTTTGTGGAGGCCACAGTGGCTGCCCTGTGGACGGGCGGCTGCCTTGTTCCACTATTGTACCTTCTCGCGATGAGAGTGGGCATGACACTTAACTATGCCCTGCTCCTGGCTTTGGTGCCTCTCTTCTTGGGTATACACTTCCTTCGTGCCAGCTTCCGGGTCAAGCGCAGGCTTTTGGAGGAGCCCGAGCAGGGGAGCATAAAGACGAGATCAGACAGGCCCAGTCATGAAGAAAGGATATGAGGTTGAAGAGCAGGCTGTCAAATTTAATGTAGCGCAAGTTTGTCGCAAGATCCGTGATTGAAGAATCTTGCAGCTTCCGGTGGGAGCTGCTGTGACCCCACGAGGGCTCTGTCCCGGCATGGAAGTGTATAGCATAGCTACAAAGCACTGCCGCATCCAAGCTAGCAATATCAACCAGGAAGTCACAACATGCAGGCAGAATGATGCGGTTTGCATACGCAAAACTGGCTCACTGTGTGGCTGACAGAAGTACCAGGTTTTGAAGCAGGTTGTCCAAGTCCCTGCGGTTTCGCATGGCGGCACGAGCAAGGGCCGATCCACTACATGCGATTAGCATGTCAAATCCGAATTGCTTTCTTTCTGCATGGCAGTGTCACGTCTGGTCCGACTGTACCAGGTCATCAAGTTGGCCAACTTCGTGTTGGTTGTGTCGCGACCAGCTAGAGCCCACACCGAATTATCCAGAGCCCGAGCAGGCCGTACAAAAAAGTCAAGCATATAGTCACAGCTGGGGAATGCTCTCGATCACTACTGCCCTTTTACTGACGGAGCGGTTCACGGTATCCAAGCAGCCAACAGCAGCGGGCGACAAACACAGACAGACACACTCGTGCAATCCTCCCTCTGGACCGTCTTAGCATACATGATAGCAGTCTTTCCAACACTGAGGAGTAGGATCTGAAGAGGATTTTGGCTTAGCCTCTTGCCATAGTCACTTGCAGAACACTTGCAAAAAGACTGGCAGGTACGCTGGGTTGATCAGA